TTCCTCAGCAGGCCTTCAAGGCCCTGCGGTTATTGCGCCCATGCTCTCTCGCAATCAGGGCGGTACATGACATTGGTTACCTCAGCTGTAGAAAACTTGACTTCTCAGCAGCTGGTGGGGAAGATCCACCAACAATATTAATATCTCCACATTGCTGCCCAAGAACCTGAATTACTTGCATCTTACATCGGCAGCATCTTGTTCACTCTTCACACTACTTCGCAGTGGTTGTTTTCAAAACGACATGTTCACTTCAAACAGCCCATTGAAATTCAAACGTCACGCGTCCTGAACCCGCGTTCGTCCCAGTCGTCAAACACGACGTTTTCTCGGTTGCCTCAATCCAGGACCCCCCAAACACATGTCTTTGATTCGGATACCCCCTATATACGTCACGGCTAGGGATGTCTGTCTTATCCTGACTTGGGGGCCACTGGGACCACCCAGCAGATTCTGCTTTGACAGCCATCTCCGTGACACCCCGGGCCCCCCCGGACTTTGGGCTTGCAATTCTTGAAGATTATCCGGGAGAGTTCCTTGGGCGGCGACAAGAACTGCAGTATGAGATCCGAAGTGAGGGATTGCAGTCTGATCTTGTAAGTGGTACACTCCTGTGCTCTCAACACGTGTGAATAAATCTGTCCACCAAAAGCTTCAGCTCTCTTCTTAATGCAAAGCTTTCTCAATTTGCCAAAGCAACACTGTTTTGTACAACACTTGTGACAGCCTGTGACAGCTGCAGTTCTTCCGCGTGTTTGATGCTGCAGTCCCTGTGTTACAAGATGCTACAAGTCTTCCAACCCAAAAAGGCCTCTGCCACCGCATCTGCCATGCTTCGGGTTTCTCATGGTTTCTCCGGATCCCAATGGTTGGAGGATCACTCCCCAATCGCATCACCCTGATCAAGCAACCGGAGGCTTCTGCCAACCCCAAAGCTGGTACGAACACGATACAAAAGGCATCTTCTCAGACACGCCCAGTGAATTTAAAGCATATATTGAAAATCATACAATACTACAAGCAGAAACATGAAATGCCACCAAAGTAGACATAAAGAAGGAACATCACTTAGAAGTAGCGCTCATTCGAATCGTGGCTTCCCTCACCTTCGCCGCGTTTTGCTCCGTGCCCCCCGGCCGTCTCCACGTCGCCCACGAAATCCACGAGGCCGATCCTTTGAGCCTCCGTCGTCGGTCGGTCGGGTCCGCCAGTTCGGCTTCAGAATTGGTCTCAGAGCAATAGAGTTCCCATGGGCACGGTGCTCTTGTTCCACATCGAGAGTTGAAGTCATGGGGGTGTAGGAAGTCACTCGACACTTGCGAAAAGCAATATAGGGGAAATGAGGGGAATCTCCGGACTCTGTTGAGAGGAAACCGTTTGGCCGTTCGACCAATCAAAGAACGCTTCTACCAACCGGGAGGCTGGAGCGAATAGAAAAGTGCTCGACTTCTTCATGCAAGCTGCGAGTAAACCTGAAAAAAAGGGTCTGCAAAAACAGTAAGTTCACGTCGTTGGTCGTCCATGTTACTCATGTTCCGGGACCCTCTGGGGATGTCGAAGTTCCATGACAGCCGTGTCTTTCCTCTGTGCCGTCCTTTGGCATGACGGTCCCGGCCCCAACCACCGCCCCGGCCTCGCGAGCGTCAATGGCCTTGCCATCAGTGATTAACCTCCTGAGACGAGCGCTCCGGGCACTCAGCCAGAGTTCCACCTTTAACAAATCCAAAATAACAAATAAATTTGTTAACAAGTAACAAGTACAACATATGAGCGATGGAACTTTTTTCCGTTAAACTATCACATGGACCTTCCTTACCTCGTTCTCCAATCCCGCATCGTTTCTGGTGTGTGATCTCGTTCTCCATTCCTGTATCTCGTTTTGGTGTGGATACCCATCTCGTTCTCGAGAGGTGTTCCTACCTCGTTTCACAAGCTAAACATGTCACATGTCATTAACCAAACCATTTCAAACAAATGGCGCATTTGATGCCCATCTCGTTCTCGGGGTGTTCCTACCTCGTTTCGCCAACTAAATCTGACATTGGGCTTTAGAAAAGGCCCTAGACTAATCTTCACTACCGCAAATAAAAGCCGTTGCTCATATATAATACAACATAATACAACATGTTCCTTAACTTTTTCTTTCATTTACGACAATCGACGGTCGCACCATGTCTCCTAGTCTGACAGTCGACTGTTGTCGACTCCTCCTCGAAACAACACTCAGAGTCGACACCCTGGACATCTCCTAATGTTGTCGTCGCTGATCCGCTTGCGCATGGCGACGGTCACGCACTGGCAACGTTGTGGGTTGTGGGCCATTGTTTCTTCATTTGATCATGATCCTCTGATGATTTCTGCTCAATTTGGGACTCCCAGGTGGCTCCACAGATCTTCGTCAATTGCACCGTTTGCCTTGGAATGCCATTGCCAAAAAGAACCTGGCTGGAACCTCAACACATCTCAACACCCAAATACCAACCTCTTGCAAACATGCCAGTCGCTGGCCGCTGGCAGACCACCTACACGAACTTCGGGAAATCCAAAGGTGGTGTCAGGCTCCGCGAGAGAGACCTCAGGCTCCGGATGAGACATCGATGTCGCGCAGGTTCAGGTTCGGTTGGGGATCTTGGGGACAAAGTTCCGTATGCAACCAGGACTCACAAGGGGTGGTTAAGAGACACCCCTTAACCTCTAAGCGGCTATCAATAGACACTTCTTAGGGTTGCTTGTTAGGGGGTCATGGTATAGAGAGACTGATGAAATCATCTAGATCCTAAGGCCCATGTCAGAAAGTGGCCACAATCATTTCCTCGTGGCCAATGCTTGACGCACGGTCTCAGAAAAGGGGGGGCAATCGATTGGCTTTGGCATAGGCAGCAGTTGCCTCTGAGGCACGTCCGATAGAGCTGCGAAGGCCATTGGCAAACTTCTCACCTTGGGAAAGTGTGAAATTTATGGGACAAGCTTTGTCGAGAAGACATGTGAAAGGATTGTATGATTACAAATGCTCGGCATATTGCTCGGCAAAGGATGTTCTGAAACAAAAACAGTCTGCTGAGGTTGGTATCGGTATAGAGGTTGGTTTTAGAGGTCCCCAGGAAACCCAAACGGTGTCCAAGACATTTTGGATCGGGCTTTGTGGAGCATTCCTGTTTTCGCTGGACGTCTTCCACACTGAGTGCTTTTCGCTGTTTTCGCTCGCTTGTCGTCCGCTGGTACTGAGTGTCTCAACATCCCCTCGAGCGACATTGATGATGTAAGTCGGTCGCGTGTCCACCACCTGACTCAGCAAAGTCGAGGGTCCATGAAGCGAAAATAGGAGCAAGGACGCTACTAGGGGCTCCTGGCATCGCTACTAGGAGCAAGATCGCTACTAGGAGCTCCTGGCTGTATACTAGTTACTATAGGAGCAAGGTTGCTGCTATTTGTTATTTTGTGATGCTCAACATTTGCAGTCTACGAGTCTACAAGGAAGGCTTACTGCACCCGGAAAGCGCGTCACACTGGAAACTACACCAACTGCCTTCTGTCACAAGTTATCAACCAATTTCGCTGAACACCTTCCGCACCAGGGAAGCCCAGGAATACCCCCACTCTCGAGGATTACCCTTATCGCGGCCCGGGTCACCGACGACTTGGCCTCGCAAAGTTCTGCGTAGATCTCTTGCGTAAACATATAGATGTCCTACAGGGAGGCGACATCGCGCCCAAACGAAGAGGAGTGTCAGCTGCACTTCCAGTGGTGGAGTTTCTGCTCGTCAGCAATCGCATATTCAGAACTTGGGAAATGTATTGTAGACAACTGTTGATTCATAAAACCCAAATGAAGAGGTCCTACAATCCAAATGGGCGGGGTCTTATTTCTGAACAGCAAGAGTCTACATGAGTGACACACACCTGTAAAAAATGCTTGACTGTGGTTTTTGGACCATTCGATTATGTGTTGAGATGTTTTGAGACCCACACCCTTCTCTCATGCATCCATTGTTTCGCTGATGTCAGTCACATGTTTTTGTGCAAGTGCTGTGGCGTTAAGAAACAAAACAACCACAAGAACAATTCAAAAGGAAGAACTCGCATTCAGAGAGATGCAAGGAAGGACATTTCAAAATTGAGAGACGTGAACATGCGTGAAAGCAACCTGAGATGCGAAAACACTGAGTAGCTTCAAAGGAACTGTATCGCTGCAACTAACAGGCTGTGGGACCTGGTAAACCATCCAAACCGTCCCAGGACGACAACGAGAGACCATGGTACAAGGCACATCCAACGGGACTCGGGTCCTTGTCCCAGGTCGTTTGACCCAGAAACCGGAAGATGACCATGCCAGATGTGACCTGCGCGTCGCCGTGTCGCCGGATGCCAGATGCGACGCCGACCGCGTGCACGTGAAGGGGCTCGCAGATTCGCAAAGCTCAGGTGCTCAATAGCATCTGTGCATCTTACATGGAATCAGGGTTTTGTCTGGTTGTGGCTCAATGTTCCACCAAGAACCCGGTGAACCGGTGGCTTTTCCTTTACCCAATATCCTGCTAATTGATTCATAATTCATGAACATCATTTGAAAAATCAAGAACATGACGGGATTCTGTTCCGGCCCATTTCACTGGCGTGGGCCGTGTCGACACGAGTGACAAGAGCTACAGTACTGGCCGTGTCGGAAAAAAAAACAATGAACGACACGGATCCGGACGATCTCCGCTCCCCAGTTTAAAAGAATACAGTGGTTTCAGAGTAGATGGCACAAACCCAAAGAGGTCCTTGATGCGGGGGTCCATATAAATCACCTTTTCGGGATTGTGCCATCCACTGTGAAACCACCGTAGAAGCTGCAACGAACTCTCAAAAGAAACTGGCCGACATCTCGAAAGAAATTGGCTTGCAAAGACCGCTCCTTTTGCCGGAGCACTTGTCAGGGCTCAGCGAAAATTTCTGGTCTGCTGGGAGGAGTCTGAGTCCTTCTCGCTTCAAACGGGAGGGAGTTGTCAACTCGCTTCTCACAGCTTGGCAGCAGGAGCCTTATCGGCTGCCAAGCCACCTCCTGAAAGCTCCTTGAGATCCTGGGTGAGTTAAAAAAGCAAACATCCAAAGTTGAAAGACTTGCAGGGGAAAAGCATGGGCTTCAGCTTCTTGCATTTGTTTGTATCCGGAGGTTGGTCACTTTCGATCTGTGTGTTGCAAGGGCAAAAGGTGTTGCTCAGTGTCAAGTAGAGCAGGTGTGGACAGTCGCAATAACCTTCAGCCAAGGATCCATGCTCTTGAACTTGTCGCCCAACATGTACTTTGCGCAGTGCTTGCCGGCCACACGCCCAAACACCACGCAATCCAACAAGGAGTTGCCACCTTGGATTCGCTAATCACATCCCCTGAAGAGGTCCCTCCAAGGGCATGTCCAATCGGAAGTTCAAGTCGCATTTCCAATAAGCTATTTTTTAGCACATCATCGAATCCCAGAGGGCTCATGTCCCAAAGACAAGGACAATCTAAACCCCAGTGGTTGGGGGATCTCCATAGTCTAAAATTAAGCAACGAACGCAAGTTATAACTCACTAAAAACATGTGATTATAGCTTTCCTCTGATTGAGAACTCCCCCCCAAAGTCCCAAAAGCATCCTCACAAAAAAGAACGGTCCCCACTTATTTTGGTAGAAATGGTATCCAATACATGTTGAAAGGTGTTTTACTTTTCTATCTATTTGGGAGTCTGTATCAAAACATGTTCAAAAACCACCCTCTGGTCCTGGTCACCAAGGCGGTTGTTCCCATGGACGCCGCCCGCCACTTCGCCAGCAGCGTAGAGCCCCGGGATGGCTTTGCCCGATGTGTCCACCACGGCGGAGTTCGCGTCGATCTCGAGGCCGCCCATGCAGTAGTGAATCACTGGGGTGATGATGGCCTACAGTTCCCACTCGAGCTTCCGGGAATGGACGAGATGGGTCATGACTGGACATCCACTGGTTAGGTGTTTTACATCAGTCATGACTGGACTTCCAGAGTTCATGTGGCTCATGGAATGCTGAGTCAAACGTCAAAACACACTTCTTGAATCTGGTTCGACATCCCAGGTTCACTCATACCTGGAATGAAGGACACAAACACCCAACTTTGGGAAATAAAAGGACAGGCCTTGTGCCAGAGCCCCAAACAATTCTCGGCAAAGAGCAATTAAGGATCATGACATGGCAATGACATGGCATGACAACACGCCAGTCCAGACTCCCTGAAATCATCATGGAAATAAGAAGAACATGGTCATCCAAGGGGCCTTGTTCGACTTCAATTGTTCCGAGTACAAGTTCTTTCATGCGAGTGTGTGGTGTTCCACACCCATTCTCACACTACTTGCGGTTGAATAGCGGCTTAACGATAACCTTGTGAAAGTGGAGGCGCTTGTCACAGGTCCACCACTGAAGCAGGTCTCAACACATCTTCTTTTAAACAAGACATGTATCCACCAAAACCGCTACATCAAATTCATTAAACAGCTTCTAACTTCTCTGTGAAAAGACCAAGTGGCCGAGTAGAAGGGCTCGGCCTTCACCTGCCGAATCAAACTCCGCAAACTCGTCAATTTGTTTTTTTTTTGAATTGGGGGATCCTGAGCCAATGCCCCTCATGAGCCAATTCACAGTCAATCGGGTCTTTGGAGGAAACCCTTAAACTCGCCAAACTCAATGTGTTGAACACACTGGCTCAAGTTTGGGTGCTTTCGGCCGTCCCACCTAGTCTAGCAAAAAGACGAGACCAAACCGTAATTGTGTAAAAGGTTAGTTTCTCTTCGAAACCAATGGGTTCCATTTCCTCATGCTGCAATCCAGTTCTTCTGTAAGTCCCGAACCAGCCGAAAGTGAAACGAAGCACTTGTGCTTCGTCACAGAGTATGGCAGTTTATGGGATTAGATAATGGATGATAATTGAGTCCTTCAACACATTGCTGAGCTCTTGGAACGTCTTGGAACTCCGATGACGCCGACATATACGCCACTGCCAGGTCGCTTTTGCCTGCGTTCTTATCTAGATTATAAAGATTCAGGTTGTCAGTCGCAGGCACCTTTCAATGAGCTTCCCCCACGCAAACCTATAGTTGTAGGAACTCCATGCGATCAGAAACACGTCGTGCAAGTGAAGCCAACGAAATTGCAGCAACATTCCTTCCGTTCATAGATGGCCATGAAAGGACACTGATAACCCCGCCAAATACCGCCAAATACTGTTTTCACCCTCTGTGAAACATGGTGAAACTTCTCCAGAGGGGCGGTCTGTGGTCACTCGTTTTTGGTCTTTCATGGTGGCTGGCGCCAGGTGCCTTGGAGCCATCGATAATGTTGTGGAAGAACTTCTTGCCGACGCCCGTCTTCCCACTGGGCTCGTCCCAGGTCTTGCCTTCGGATACGAAGGGAGTGATGCAGGGTCGACGGAGAAGCCATGAGCAAGGAATGGTCATTTAGCATACTAATGTATATGCGTAGTTTGAATGATCTTGAATCTTGAATGTAATATGTATATGTTTCCATTTAGTGTCCTTCCATATTGGTTCCATACATTGAAGAGCAATGTAATATCTATAGATCTTCCATCGTCTTCCATGATCTTCCAAAGGGCTCCAAGGTCTCAGTGAAATGATCATTGAAATTGAACAACCGGGTATTCTAAAAAGTCTGCATTCCAACGCACATCCGACCAGACGACCCACCAAACAAAACGACGAATCCACCAAACCCTGCGCCTGAAGGGTAGGCTGGGTAAGGTCCACCCTCGGGATCCTTCTCCTGCTTCTTGGCCGCCTCGAAATGCTGCTGGTGGGTGGCCTCCAAGGTGCTCACTGGGATCTGCATGTCTTTGCAAAGCTCCTGGGCTGGAAGGGCCCGGAAGGGCCTGGAAGGATGATATTGGGCCCAGCAAGGAGTTTTTTTCTGCATCCACATGCTGAATCCATGCTGAACGTCCCATCTGACCCCAAAAAACGGGTGCTCTGCACATATTAGCACTGGGTTCAGGACGGAACTGTCTTTGTGCAGTTTCTTTGACACGACTGCAATCAATTGTATTCAACTCTGTCAAGTACCAAAGACATCCATAGGATAAGACCAAACTGCTTTGCCGTCCTCGCCCGAGGCATAGAACTTCATCACCCCGCGACCGGTGTAGTGCTTGCAATGCCAAATGATCTCATCGGAGGCCGCCTTGTTGAGGATCAGCCGGTAGGGCGGCTGCGCAAAGGGCGCTGGGTAGGCCGGCGATGCAGCAGGAATGGCGATGCAGCCGTATAGGTTTGTCTCCAATGAGGCGACTCTGTAACAGGACAAATCTAGAAATACCCTCTATACAAACAAACCTGATGCATGTGTGTGTGTGTGAGTGAGCACTCCCATGCATGGCCCCACTAAGTGCCACCACGGCCAGCACTGATCACCTTCCACAACTCCTCCTACACTTCACTGATCGACAGCACCTCTGTCGTCCCTCTCATCCCCCATCCTGGCCTTGGACTTCCACATCTCCCCCGTGACGTAATCCCTGCGCCCCAGCTCGTTGCAGAAGCGTTGTCCTTCCGCATTGATGACCAAGCCGCCCACGCCGCGCAGGGCCTCGGCGGCCAAGAACTTGATCTTTGCCTCGGGGTCATCGGGCTCCACCAAACCGGTCGGATGGACCTGCGCACAGTGCCAGCGCTGGGCGGCCAGCGCGGTGGTGTGGGACGGAATGGGGCCCAATGCCAAACAAAAATCGCTTTGCCGCTTTGGGAGGTTTAGAGGTTTGGAGGTGGAGAGGTGTGCGAGATTACTTAGTATATATATATATGGACCGATATGAGTGGATAAACATTCAATTGAGCGGTGTTCAAAATTGTGTTTTCTTTTCTTGCCGAGAAATCAAACCTTACAGTGGGCCTTACGCAAAACTTACGTGTTTCTATGCTTTGCTTACGGTGACACATGTATGCATGGCTATTCTTACGTTTTGCTTACGGCGAACATATGCAAGTCCACTATGGTCACATATGAAATGTTGTTGCAAAACAAGAAAGGAAACAGAATCAAAATCAACAAGTGTATACAAGTGTCGCTTCCGGTAGCCTTCCGGCATCGTTCAAGTCTGCACATCCTTACGGCAAACCTTACGGACACCTCACAAACATCAGCTAAGATCACTATGTTCACTTATTTTTCGCCGGTCCCTGACTAAAAAAGAAAGGGCGAATTTAGAACGCTGCTCAATTGAACCACCTTCGAGACCACCAAAAAAGAGACCACACGCGTGCGGGTTCCCCGCAAGAAGAACGGACCTGCACCCACTCCAAGTCAATGCTGCGAGCTCCGATCGCTTCACCCATCTTGATGCCGTCACCTCCGGACGGGTGGAACCGGTAAAAATGGCAGGGTTTCAAGTGGTCGATCTGTTTAGCAAACGGTGGGGTGTGTCTGATCCAGCAACCTAAGTATATAGATGATGTTTATTGTACGTGTAAGCAACACGTTTACCCTAAGATACCCTAAGACTGTTTTATTTGAAGGCTGGTTACCCCTACTTGCACACCTATTATTTGTTGCGACTGGCCCCATGCCCAGAACACTGATTAACCTCCTTGACCATCATCAAAATTCCAAGAAACGAGACACTGGCTTGAACAATCCGCTGGTTTATGGTATGTGTTGTCCCTTGCAGGTATCATCTAAGTCCACTATCTCCGGGCCAACGCAATCAACATCACTGTGATTCATGAGTGTCCCACAAGTCTCGTACGCTGTTACACCGGCCTCCTTTCACAAACCAAATCTTAGCTGCCTTAGCTCCCCACTCATTAAGCCATATTAAGATATATTAAGCCATATGATGCGGAGTAAAAGGCCTTCGACTCCGCCTTCGACTCCCAAAGACCCAACCACAACCAGCTCACCTGTCGTATGATCTCCATTGGTGGTGGGCAAATGCAACAAGTCCGGTCGGTACTTGGCCAGCAGCGAGTCGTCCGTGAAGTCCGCGCCAAAGCCGCCCGTGGCCAAAATCACTGGACCTCCCCAAAGGGCCCAAAGGTCAAAGCTGAAAGCAAGCAGGGGGTCGACCACTTTTTTCCCTAACAAGCAGTTCAAGCAGGAAGGGTATTGCTCCAGGAGGAGGGATGGATGTAGAAATTGGATGTGGCTTTCTGGATTCGGTGCACTTTTCCACGAACACAAAACCCATGGAAGTGGGCATGGCCAAACGACGATCCACAAATTAGCAGGTACTTTTGTTCCATGTTAGCAAGCCGGAACAAACACAATCTCCTGGTTCCTCAGTGTTGCTGTAGTTGGTCCTTTTTCTTCGTGGAGTTCACTGGGGAATCCTCCATGTCCTCGGCCATGTCTCGGTCTCAGCCATTGTTCGTCCTACTCTTTTTACATTCCCCCGCTGAGGTTTTAACAGTGGCAACTCTGGAAACCCACTGACTGACAATTTACCTGGAAGACCGTTGGAAACCCTCATTCTGAATCCAAACTGAACAAGAGAATCCTGGAAATTCCCGTCTTCTGTCTTTCACATTGTCTTCAAAAAAATTGCCGGAATTTGCACGTACAAGTACTATAATTACCAGAAGCTGAAGCGAAGCATGTGTGTCTCTCTCCCAGACGCTGAAGCGAGTCCCCCACCCCTCCCCTTCAGGCCTTCCTCGGTGAAGTCTTTGCCCTTCTTCTCGTAAGTGACGCCACACACGGTGCCTGACTTGGTCAAGAGCTGCTTCACCTTGGCCTCGCCGAACACACGCAGCACGTGTTTTCGACCTACGCACCACGAGTCGGGAAAAGGTCGAACAATATGAATTTGGCACATGAGTTTTGCCTCCAAGACCAAGCAACAAAAAATCACCCAAGACCTCTCGTAAAGAGAAACCTCGACTGAAACCTCCTTTGTTTTTTCCACAGATACAACACTGCGGTAGAATCACCCACCTCGGATCTGACTAAGGGCCATTTGAAATAGTTGGGGGTTCTTACTTTCAGATGTTATACGGAAGGGGCTTCAACATGTATGTTAAAAGCATCTTAAAGCTCTCCCACTCCAGCTGAACCTTAGAGCCATCTTAAGCCCTATGAAACCCTCTGTGCTTCAAGCATCTTCAAGCAGGCTCCAAACCTGGAGGCGCCGGTCGCGATGCCGGGACCTCGCACCTTGTTGATGATCCGGGCCAGGTCACTGCGCTCAGAGATCTTCTCCACCATCTGGATCAGGGCCTAACACGAGAGCGTGGCAGAGCGCGTCTCGCGCGATCTGAAGGGTCTTGAATTTTGCATCACTCGTGCCAAATGAGTGCTGAAGTGTGTTTAAAAGATGTCCATGACATTGCCCGTCCTACATCCGTGGACTCCCCTTTTCGCCCAGTCACGTAGGTGATGGTCATCCCTGGGAAGCGTTCCTTGCCGCGATGGGTGCGAGGGGCGCTGTGGCCGCCCAAACGGGCCAGCAGGGACATGTCCAGATCGAACTTGTCCACCAACCAATCAACGTCGCTTCCTCAGAAAAACAAGGGAGCGAGCTTGCTTTCTCAGGATGCGTTATGAACATAATTAGACTCCAAACAAAGTGTTTTGGCTTGTTTCTTCATGTTCCCTGCAAAATGGATGGGATATGTGCTGCATTTCTTCTCATTCATTGGCGCAAAATGCTAAGGGAATCGAGAGCCTATAACTGAAGCTCTACGTAAAACATCATCCACGGTTGCAGTAGTAATTCTGCCGTGGTCGTAACAAGGGGTCCTGTGCGTATGAACATTCAATGCCTTGGTTCAGGTGGGATCAATTGCTCATCTGATCATTGGATACAGGATAGATTGCTTGCTTCTGACAATGGACAACTATTCAAGAATCTTTGAATAATATGGACACTAATTATATCGACCCCAAAGACTTGGGGGTCAGGATGATTGGCATGTTGACCTGATGTCGTCTTCAGGACCTTTCGATGAAACGAAAAACAACGAATGTATCCCACATCTTCTGATTCTCGCTGCCTAGGATCCGGAGTTGCCGCAAAGCACCTGCGTCCAACATTTCTGACACAACAGCGGTCGTCTTCGGAAGCCCTTGGTTGAAGCGGATGGCACAACTTATAACATCAATATCCTCTAACATCTTTAAAAATAAAACCAATAAAAAACAAACGGCATTAAAAACATAAATAACACGACCGGCAGTCCTTGTTTCCTGCATTCAAAGAGTGGCAGGTGGTGGAACGGAAGTGACCGTAGAAACATGTAGATCATGTAGAAGCGAAGGTCTGACATCACAAGAGAACTCTGAGATGATCTGTTTGCGCCCTTGGAACCGAGATAAAATCACGCCCCACACCCAGCGGAGCCTCCCCAGAAAGGAACACAACACACAAACCCCATGGCTTCCACAGCGGAGCCTCCTCGGTTTTCCGGTCTTCGTCTGCGTCTTCCGTTCGCCTTCACGAGTTCGGGCTTCTTGGCGCCACCCTTCAGGGTATCCGAGGTGAAGAGCTGCACCGAGTCCTCGAACGACGCGGTCCGGATGACGCGTGTGGGGTCAGATGAGGCACCCGACGGGACGACTGGGAAATCCACCGGAGCTTCAGTGACAGAAACACACCATCTTCGTGGTTTGCAAAGGCAATGAACACATGGAGCGTCATGGATCTCCGGTCCTCCACCTTCTTCTGCTTCTGTGTTTGCGTCTCGGCCCCATTGATGCCACTGGTGGCTTTGGTGCTGTTGCCACCGCAAAAGGCGCTCTTGTCCACCAGCACCACCTGCACATCATGTGGTGACGCCGCGTGCGGTGTGGTTGTAGGAGTGTGTTCGGGTGGCTGTTGGCTGTTTTTTTTTGCGATAAAATGCTTTTCTGGGAACAAAACTTCAGAATCCGCTCCAAGTTTGGGATCGTGCATACGCGTGCAGGACGAAGCAACTCCTAAGCGCCCTGGTGTTGAAGGCACCTTGCCGCCACACTCAAGCACGGTGTTGGCCGCAGAGACACCGGCCAAGCCACCTCCCACCACGATAGCTTGCGCCATCCGAGTTCGGAATCTGGGCGAGTTCGGAAGAATTAAAAGGGGAAAAGCTTTCGATGGGTCTCTGGAGCCAAAACGGCTGAGAAGCGGATCCGAGGTGAACCCGTACGAGACTTCTATGGCCCCCAGACTATATATAATACATGCATGCATATGTAGACACAAGAAGACCGCGAAGAACAACTTGTTTCCTGTATACATATATATGCATATATTACCACTAAATCTCTTAAAAGGCATGCGTTCTTATTGGGAAGAGATGGGGAGAGCAGTAATATGTCCCTCCAAAAAGAAGAAAAACATTGTGTCTCCAACACTTCCAGCACACCGCGAGTCTTGCACGGATGTCGGACGTTCCACCGGAGTGGACATAGATGAACCCTCTGCATAGCTGGCAGCTGATAGTCTACCTTGTTCATCTTTGGAGTGTACAGTGTACATGAGTGTACATGGCTGGCCCCAAATGGAATTTCGTACGGCTGCGATCAATCATTCGCCTCTCAAAATACCCTTCCCCCTATAGTATACCAGGCGGGCAAATGCACATGAACCGACGACCCGACTGTCGCAGGTTCCTTTTCAGACCGCAGGTGTCTCCTTCGGCTCGGTCCGCGCCCGCAGGGCCCGCAGGGCACGAACCGGGCCTTTTTCGCCTTTTGCGGTCTCCTGTTCGGACCGAACGAGTTCGCGAACGGGACGCGGCACCTGAGATGGGAGGATCATGAGATGGAAGATGAGATGGGACCACAAGCGACATCTGAGGCTGTGGAATTTCCGCCTTTAAGGGCTCGAAGTTGAGACAAAAAGAACACATGACCCCTCTAAAGTAGCAAAACTTCACAAAACATCATAAAACTTCTATGCCAACAGATCCTATGCGATTCTGGCAGGATGAGAATCAGGATTCATTCGACCCCCCCGAATCAGGATTCATAACGGGACTTTGCGTCTTTGTGGAGAAAACCAGCTCGAAAGCACCTTCTCTAGGCCCCAAAATAACGGGACTCTGGGACTCCGCATTTGTTCAGCACCGCGGGCTAGCCAGTCCTCGAGACTTCGGCGTCTTAGACGGTTTGTTTCTTGGCTAAGTTCTGAAGGTCTGCCATCATCTTGGCCTCGCATGGAGCAGTGGTGACGGGCTGAATGTTGTGTGTTTCGGCTTTCGGAACGGGCGGTGGGAGGGGCGGTTGGATGGTAGAAGGATGTAGAGGGCCAAACTTGGCAAGACCTCTTTGGGCAATTCACCTACCGGACATGAAGGAAACATCAAACACCCGTCGAAGAATGCCTTCTCAAACAAGAACAATTGAACGACCAAAGAGACTCAGGAATCTATCCTGTGTTGTCGTTCTTCAAGGAGCGAAAACAAATAAACCCTCTGAGTCAAAAGCAAGTCCAAACATAAATGCCCAAAGGGTGGGATCAAAGAGTTCTGGTTCAACCAATATCTTTGACTCGGTCAAAGAACGCGCGTGTCACGTGGCGTGCGTCACGCAGCCAGGCCTCCCAATCATCAAAGCTCTTTGCTCTCTGAAAGGTCTCGGAAGGACTCTCGGCTTTCTCGCCTGCGGTGGAATCTGGTTCAAATTCAGTGAAAGGTTCAGAAAACAACATATATTCTGCTGCCAATAAACCCCCAAGAGGCACTGTGGCACCGTGATTGTTCTAACTTCCTGTTGTGTGTTTGTACATCTCACATCTTCCTATTTCAATCTTGCTGGAGCAATGACGCTACTAGGGGCTCCTGGCCCCTGGCCTTACTACTAGGAGCAAGAAGCTACTATGAACAAAGGGCATCGCTACTAGGAGCAAAGATGCTACTAGGTTGGAGGCCACTGCCGGGGATTTCTGCATCTTCTCCTTTGAGACCCCGAGAACGTTTTCAAACGACAACCGCCCTGTGCCACAGCCGGCCTGAGGGCTTCGGTCGACCGTGACTCTCTTTGGCCTTCGGTCTGTTTCTGTCCGCTAGACCGCAGACGCAAGAGAACACCAGGGATGCTCAGATCTTCCAGGTGATGTTCAGATCTTCAGTTGCCACAAAAATATAGGACCGGATAACCCCACATGTTAACAACTTCACCAGACACAGGAGCGGACAATTGGTGGTTGGCGGTTGGTGGTGGTTGGTTGGTGGTTGGTGGTTGGTGGTGGATGGTTGGTGGTTGCTGGTGGTGGTTGGTTGGTGGTTGGTGGTTGGTGGTTGGTGGTTGGTGGTGGTTGGTTGGTGGTTGGTGGTTGGTGGTGGTTGGTTGGCGGTTGCTGGTTGGTGGTGGTAGGAGAGCACCAAGTGCTGCGCCTGCCATGCAGATCACACCGGCACAGCGGCGGCGACCCAGGAGCACCAGGGCATACATCCGACAACTTGGAGAGCAGTGCTGCGCCTGCCACGCGAATCATGTAGTAGTACGTGCTGTAGCCCATGGTCCGCCAGCAGCGCCACGGCAAGAGCACCACAGCGCCGCACGGCAGCCAAAGGGGGTGCGATTTATTTTTTGGGGGGGGGGACAGAGGAGACAGGGGAGCACACATCCAGGATACCTAGGGCTCCAAAGGACCTCAGCCACACGATCTAAGTGCTTAACCACAATCCGGTTGGGCCTATTCTATCTGGCCAACCAAATCGCCAGAGCAGTGGGTCCGGGCCTTTGCGGGGCGATCATCCTGAGTTCGTGAGCAGTACCAGGCGATGTGCTCCCAAGACCCTTGCACTGCTCCACACAGGGAGCATCGCGATCGATCGAGGCAGTCGGAGTCCAAGTGGCAGTGATGGAAATATGATCACTGACATGAACCTGAACCTGTCCAGCCCAATTCAGTTAAGGGGAGAGGTGGATCACCACAAGCAACCCATTGATGATTTTGAAGGTCTTGCGAATATGACAAGTTTAATGCAACACCACAGCTCCAAAGAAGGAGAAACTGTGCTCTGCCGAGTTGCACCTTGTCGCCAAACCGGTGAGGAAAGTCCTTCTTGACAATCCAAGCCACGCCACCAGTGGGGTGACAACGAACGAGCCGCGGCAAGCGGGGTATAGAGTCAGTGCCTCGACAGGGATTGTTCCATTCAGCATCGTTGGATATGCGCCAACACGCAGAACAAGTGAGAAGTGTACCTGCGCGCAGTTTGTTCGAACTAGTAGGCCATGTCGTCCAGTCAGGTTTGATAACAACGAGTTGGTGGCCCCCACCATGAGGATCTTGAAGCTTCCGTTCAAGCTTCATCCCTGTGCGTTTCCCGGCCGACATGTAGTCAACAACGAGGTCGGGTCGCCCTTTAGCTTGTTTCCCACGGGCAGCAAACAGCTTTTTGTGAAAACCGTTTTTTCTTTCTCAGGGTTTTATGTTTGTCATTGTAATGTCTTTCTGGCTTTTTCAAGAACATTCCTGCTGATTCCCTCAGGCAAAGCTGCGGGACAGAAAGGGCCATTCAGGTAAGCTAAAAGAAACTTCCAAGTGGTTGGCAGTGCATTTCACGCTAAGTTTAAGAACCGATGGGTCGACGTCCGGGTGCCTCGACGCATGATGACGTGTTCGTCGATCCGACACCTGCCTAGTATTGGGTTTGCCAGTGATGCGGTCAGAGCAAATCAGACAAGTCTATCTTCATTAGTCTGATTGTACAGTTGATCAAAGGCTCTTGCATTGGTCAAATTCTTTCTCTGACCTGAGGTAGGTAAATCATCAATGTCGTACTAGGAACAGGCTCAAAATGCATATCTCTGTCGGGATGGTCAAACTCAAACAGTCGACGACGTTTCTTCATACCCCTGATCCGGAGCGTCAGTGGAGGAGCCAGGTAAGACTCCTTGAGAATGGAGGGTATTGTGTCACCACAACCCACAAGCCACAAGGAGAGCGGCAAGGTCAGGCTGGGAGAAAGAGGATCCGGAGTACAAGGAGGGAGGGACAGAGACCTACAAGACGCCAGACTCCGAAAATTCAATCCAAGTGTACCAGCTCCTCCCGAGCAACAAAGGGAGTGTCTGTGAGTCAAGAGTCAGGCACGTGAGTTTTAGTAGAACCATACGGCCCGAAAGTGGCCTTCTTTCAATTCAAGGCAGACAGGCGCACCTTCAGGACTCAAAGCGCGACCCTTACTAAATTCCCTGCTAGGACATGTTTCTGCCAGGCAGCATCTGTGGCACCCCTTTAAACCACAAAGGCCCGTCCGAGGCGGGACAGCCAAGCCGTACAACAAGAGCCCATCGATCCAGAACTGCCTCTGTGCAGCCAACATGACATAGTCAGAAAACGTTTCTGGCTCGGGTTGACCTGCTCGCTGCTCATCAGTAGCAGTGAGGTCAGGTGCAAAAAATCGGCATACTCAGTCTTAGCAAGTGTCCAACGACCACCGCCCTGCAAACAAGCCAAGACTCGAGCGACTGCACGAAAGCCGCAATCCCAGAGCCGCCATGGGCCATCGTCAATGACTTTGCACTGAGTATTCTGTGTAAACAAAAGCGTCAGCATCAACATGGGGGGGGAGCAGGGTTCAGTTTAGAACGTTTGCAGCAGGGTCCTTGCTGTTGGGCTTCGCCCTCTGGCACTTCAGCCCTTTCGTGGTTCAGATCATCGGCCTCATTATCCGACACATCAATTTGAGTAGCAGCAGGAACCTTGGTAGGGCTAATCCACTCCTTTCTAGGGCCAGCGAGTTGCACCGAGGGGAGTGGTTTTCGTTTTCGAGGACCCTCAAGACGGACCGTGATATGACAAGAGTTATCAGCGTTCGTGTATGACCAGCAAGCTTGGTCCGGGTCACGCTATATTCAGGACACATAGCTTGGAAAAGCCAAACAGGGCGACCTTTTCGTCGAACTCGGCTTTTGATTGAAACATTCTTCCAGCCTTCACTGCGCAAAAATCTGAGCATTTCTGGGGCAAGCCAATGGGTAGGAGCACTATAGACCTCCCAAGATCGAAGAGTAGTTCGCAAATTAACTTTGGGGTCAATCCCAACAAGCCGGACATCATTTGACAGAAAGCAAGGGCAACCTGCA